ATTCTGGGAGTTGAAGTCCACTCATCTTAAAGTGGCCAAGTTTGGACAACACTGACATAAACAAAATAGAACTAAATCTATCACCATTCACTGTTCTTTCTGTCTTTGCAAACCAACCTCACCTCTATCATATCCATCTACCATTTCCTACATCGCCTTTGGTTCTTTAAAATTCTCACTTCTTTTTGAAGATCTCAGCTCCATTCATCCATGACCTTCTCAACTTTCTCTGTCTTCCCCCTCCTCTCCACCCATTCATTCTCCCTTCATATATTTGTTTTGCAACATGATCCTCATTCATCCTCTCCATATGGCCAAACCACTCCAACATTCTTCTTTCACATAGTGCTGATCACTCTTATGTTCAATCCATGTTCATTCAGCACCTATTCATTCTTTATACTCTTCTTGTTTTACCCCACAGCCATCTGTAGAATTTTTCTCATTGCATTCAACTTTCTTTTTATGTTTCCCTGGACAAAACCAACTTTCGCTTCCATATAGCAATGGGGGCAGAAGCACACTCTTACACAAGACACGTTCATTTCTTTCACAAAAGAACATTTTCTGGACAAGAATCCATATTCCTCCAAAGCAGTCTTTCTTATGTGATGAGTGGACAATCATGGTAACTTATGCCCCAGTTTTTTCTATTGTCGACAGCCTTGATTTCCTGTCACCATTCACATCAGCTCCTGCCACCAAGACACTAGTAGCTGATTCAACCTATTTGTCCATAGGCCTCCCTGAATCTACAGGTTTTTACATCAATCACTCATATTTCAAGTCTAAATATATACATTTGTAAAGACTCACAACACTATTCCCTTTCAGGATAAATAATATGGGGCAGAAGCAGGAAAGAAATAGTGAGCCAAAAATATTAGAAGCATGAGATAAGAAAAGAAAACATAACTAAATGTAATTTACACCAATATCATTCACCCTAATCCTCATCTCATTCTCTCCTTACAAACTACCCTTGCTCCTACCACGTCCATATAGTACTTCATATATTGCTTTTTGCTTTTTAAACTTCTCTCTTTTTGAGGGTCACATCAACTCCATCCAAGTATAACCTTTTCAATCTTTCTTTTCCTCTCAACCCATTTCTTCATCTTTTATAAACTGTATTTGCTTTGTGACTTGATCCTCATTCATTATCTTTGTAAAACCAACCACTTCAACATCTTTCTTTTATGTTGCTCACTCATGTTTGTATTCCATCCACATTCATTCAGCAGCCACTCTTTCTTGACCTTCTCCCTTCTTGTGCTACCATCCACACTTCTTCAGGACCTCCTTCCCACTTCATTCATCTTGCTGTTAATGCTTCTCCAACTCTTTCTTCCAAATAACAAACAGGGCAGAAACACATATTTTTACACAGCTATTTTCACTTCTTTTGACAAACGTTTCATTCTCCACAAAAGACTACTATACTCACTACCCACTCTCTTGCTATCAGCATTTACTGATCTTAATTTTTTTCCATCCATGTTTCCAGCTTTAACAAACATTCTATCAACATACACAAATTCATCTACTTGCTTTAGTTTTTTGCCATTTATTATCATTCATTCCATTTTCCCTGCCAACACAATTGCCTCTTGGAAACATACCCCTCACAGAACCCTATTCATTTTAATAGTTTTTTTCTAAAACGAACTCACAATAAACTTTCTTCCTCATAATCGTACATTTCAAAGATTAGTTGAAGAGTAAAGATCTGTCATAAAGCTACACTGCACCGTCCACCAATCCTTTCATGTCACATAACATAATAGTCTTTAGGATGTTGTGCAATTTTCCCCAAAACTTATTTCCAGTTCTTGCATTATCCATTCATTGGCAACTATCATCTACAGCTTCCTACTTGGATTTACACACAAAACAACCTAGGCAACCGCAATCATACTGACATAAATTTTAACCCTTTCATTCATAAGGAAACCTACATCTTCACTTTGGTCTTGCATTCATCAACTTTCTTTCGCAAAATCAGACCACCTTCTGTTACATCCTTAACTGCAGACACACCATATTTATTTTTCTTTTATTTCATTCTTTCATAGTCTTTACAGCTTACTCCTCTCACATTCCAACCCACAGTCATCCACATGGCATGGCCATCACCAGATGGTTCCATAAATATCATGGTTTTGGTCTATCAAGGCTTTTACAAAACACTTGAAATACAATTTGAGAGTAACAATATTTATTATTTATTCATTTATTTATTTAAAAGATTTATATGGCCACCCACGTTAAGCAACTGTGGGCAGTTCACAACAACAATAAAACAAATAAATAAAACAATCATAAAACAGTAAAAACAGTAAAACAAAAACTTGTGCCTTAATTGTCCCCTCGGGATGCCCCACAGCTGACTCAGTTACCCTCTATCCATACTATCTATTGTGAGGAGAATATGACTTATGAAACTTAAGGGTTTTGACTAACTGAAACATATTAATGAAACTAGCTTTTAGAGCAATAAATGTTAATGCTATAATAAAACTAGCTTACAGAGCAATAAGTAAAATTACTGTGCGAACTGAACTTTTCAGTCATGTGCTTATTATCAGTTATATTGAACAGGAAGCTGGAAAAGAGATGGGACAAGTAAAATGCTGATGGAAGGAATGTGGCAAGAGAAAAGAACAGGGAAGTGTTGTAAAATTAGCACGAAAAACAGTTGCAAATCCTGGGAGTCATGTTTGTGGTTTTAAGGAGTAAAAGGGATTGCTGAGAGGGGGTCGGGGCCACGGCCCCAAGCTGTCCTTTTGACCGCTTGTCTGTGCTGGTCCTCATTGCAATGGGAATTTATGTAAGTATGTAATGTTCTTGGTTATTGAACTAAAATTTAATAAAACCTTTGGAATCTTGAAGTGGTCAGTGTTTTGGTGTGTATGTCTCACGTGCTTGACGAGGATTTTCCCCTGACACTACCTGTACAACACTATCCCAGTGCCCCAGTAAAAAGCCAGGTCTTGATGGCCTTCTGAAAAGCTAGAAGGGTGGGGGCCTGTCGAATTGCCGATGGGAGGGTGCTCCACAAGGTAGGGGCAGCCACGAAAAAGGCATGCTTCTGAGGTCCCACTAGACGGCAAGATTTCGGGGGGGGGCCTGGAGCACGCGCACCCTATCTGATCTAGTTGGATGGGCAGATATGCTTAGGGAGATGCAGTCCCACAAATAACCAGGTCCGGTGCCATGTAGGGCTTTACAGGTGATAACTAGCACCTTGAATTACACCCAGAAGAAAACTGGAAGCTGGTGCTGCTCGCACAATAAAGGTGTAACACGGGAGAACCTGTGGGCGCCCAATACTGTGTGCGCCACTGCATTCTGGACCAGTTGTGGCTTCCAAGTGGCCTTCAAGGGCAGCCCATGTAAAGCGCATTGCAATAATCTAACCGGGAGGCGACTAAGGCATGTGTAACCATGAGCAAGGCCTCCTGGTCCAGGAAAGGGCACAACCGGTGCACAAGACGGATCTGTGCAAAGGCTCCCTGGCCACGGCTGCCACCTACTCATCAAGCAGGAGCTGTGAGTCCAGGAGGACCCCCAAATTGCACACCAGCTCAGTCCAGGGGAGCACAAGCCACCCAGAGTCAAAAATGACAAGTTACCAGACCCTGGAGAGCCAGATAATTTACTAACAACCAGATTTTGTTTTCTTTTTAATAAGAGATGCCACACTTTTTATCCTGTCCAAATCCATCAGTTGGAGCGAGTCACTAAATAATGGTCTGATGGAATTCCCCAGTGTTGAAAAATTGAAAACTGGAAACCAAAAAAGCCAGATACAAGTATTATCCATGTCCCAGGGTGACAACTTGTCAAAATAACAACTGGCCTCCATCCAGGTAATCGCATATTAGAGATTTTAACTGTAGGATTTATGGTACCCAAGAACACTGTAAAAATGTCCAGGAGAGCCCAGAAGAAGATCTCTACTTTGAAGAAAGCCCTTCTTGGAAGGCAAAATTTCTAAGCTAGAAAACTTTTCAGAGACAGTAAAAACTACTTTTAGTTTTTCAGCAGTGATATTTATCAAACATATGCCTATCATTTCATATAATATATGAATATTTTAATACTGAAAAGGGACAATGGAAAGTTCGACATAGAGAGAACCCCTGGGGTTTGTCAAAGTGATGAGGAGCCACTATTTTGTGCAAAGAACCACATCTACAATGACAACCATTACGTGAACTGGCAACCTACACATCAGCCATTTTATGAGTGCCCACAATGTGCTCTCCAGGCAACCTTTGATCTTAGCCAACAGGCCAAGCAGCTTTCAATCTTCATAAGATATGCATTAGAAATAAACTGACTCAATATGGCTTCTCTTACCAGACATTACAAATTATGAGATGCCACCAAGTAAAAAAAATAAGCTGAAGGAAGGAATTTGACTAATCCCTACAAAATTCCAGACATTGCAGAGTATTTGCCCTAGCCAGACTTGAAGCAACGCCTTCACCTCTCACTGATGACAGATACCAAGATTTGTTACCACAAACATCTCTACTAGTGTGATTCCCAAGTATAGAGGAAATGCAACACGTCCTCTTATACTGCAATATTTATAATGTAATGCTAATTAGACCCCTAAAAAAACAACTACCAGGTAGAAATGGCACATCTCTTTTCTCTTAGCAGACTTTAGGGCCACAGCTAACCATAATGTGGTCAAATTTTATCTAGCAGCTATGAGAACATAACAGCGAGTATCATGCAGTATGATCGGGTTTTACTAAAACTCCCTTCTTTTTAATTTATTCTTATACAGATTACTTTATGTTGCTTTTTAAATCTTCCCTTACTGTTGTACTGATGAATGATGAAGGATCTCACGGGTACACATTGGTCTAAGGTTGTAACAAAATCACTTATTTAGCCTCCAGAGACTAAATGTATATCTGGACTAAAAGGCTGTCTATTATGGATAACACCCACTAATATAACGATTTGTATATATGCCCACCAGGAACTGTAAGTCCTATTATACAATATATAAGAAGTCATATATTTCTTGGTAGGTATACAATTGCAGTCCCTTTCCGCACACTTAGTCTGGACCAAAAACCTTTCTTATTAAATTCCACTCAACTGATCTTTCCAGCTGGGAATCATCTATGACTGGAGCAGCAATTCATGATTTCAAGACAGATCCTTCCCAGCCTTATATGAAGATGCCACAGAGCAAACCAGGCCTTTTCATTTCAGAATGATGAAACATTCATCCTTTTGTAAATAAATATATTTAAAACTGTAGAGAGCTGATGCCCTTTTAGAAGGGGAATTCTCCTTGTGTTTTATACAAGAAATGCCTCCTGTAAGACTGTTCCAGGTGTGCCATATCCTTCTAAAATTAAGCAAAATAAAAATGTTTTAGTCATACAAAAAGTGTTACCTATGTTTTGCCCAAACCCAGGAGAATCCATTTAAATTTTTGCCCTGTTTTGCCAAAATTAAAAAAAGATACACGATACATTGCAGCACCATTGAACACTGCTCAGAAATTACTGTCTGAATAAAAGTTTGCATTTGTCTTTTTGTTAAATATATCAATTAATAAATATGAGTTAGTTTGGTGCAGTAGTGAAGGTGCTGACCTAGAAACCAGGAGACTGTGAGTTCTAGGCCTCCCTTAGACATGAAAGCCAGCTGGGGACTTTGGGCCAGTCCCTTCTCATGGGAAAATAGTGGCAGGAGTATTAAGCAGGTCCACCGCCTTGAGATGAACAACCCCCCCCCCAAATTATTACCAAATAATACCACAGTACCATAATATCAAATACCATAGAACCAAAAAGCCTTAGGTAGCACTTAGAAAATCCACACACTGACAAAATTTCCATCTCTCAATTACAAAAGGCCATACTGCTTGAATCTGCACATATAGTACACTGATACATTACAACATCTTATGTTCTTGGGAAGAATTTGATGCAAATGAAGGCCAAGCCCAGCTAAAGAACTGGCAGCTGAGATTTCACGTTGCTATGTATATAAAAATAATAATTATGCTACTTTGCCTAAATGCATGCATATTTCATTCACAAACAAACCCAACAGTTCAAGAGGGATAAGTAAGTACAGCTATGATCTCAGCTTTATAGTTCAGTTTAGAGCAGTGTTTCTCAACTGTGGCAACTTTAATGCTGGCTGGGGAATTCTGGGAGTTGAAGTCCATACTTCTTAAAGTTGCCAAGGTTGAGAAACCCTGGGTTAGATATTTATTCAAAAGTCTGAAACTCTCTCCCTATATACATATAACCCAAAGGCAGCCTTAACCTTCTCCATGCTTGCTCAGAAGTTTGTTCCACTGAATTCAAAGGCATTGGCTCCCAAGTTTGTTTGTGCAGCACATTTGTGAGATGGGCAGCTATACAAATCTGATAAATAAAATAAAGCTATCCCGACTGAACCTTTCACCATCTTATTAAAGGAATCAAAAATACAAGTCAGCCTTGGCCAAGCAGCTGGCCCATCCTGTTCTTCTACTGGGGCTCCACAATTTTGTATCCAGCGGTGTTTCTTACAACCTTTTGCTCTCAGGACCCCTTCCTGCTTTTAAAAATTGTGGAGAACCCCAAAAGAGCTTTTGTCTGTGTGGGTTACATTTATCAATATTTACCACATTAAAAAATTAAAACTGATGCATTCGCTGCCACTACGATGCTTTGACAGGATTTTAATATTATTTTTCAACACAGGCTGGCAAATCATTTTGATTTCGCGGGCCCCTCAGAGGGTCTTGGGGACCCCTCCCCCGGGGACCTAAGACTCACCCTTGGAGTATACTGATATAGAGGGTCGAAACCCACATTTCCCACTGAGAGATGAATCCACATATAGCACCTTTTCCAACCGACAGCCCTTCCCCACCCTCCCATTTTGGTTATCTTTCCCAAGACAGAAACAAGCAAGAAAAAGACGCGAGGCGGGGAAAAGCACTCCCCTTCCGAGGCGAAGGCTGGGAGCCCGTCCTCCCCTCACCCCCGCTTGAAAACGAGGCGGCCTAAAGCACGTTTTGGCCTGATGGCGCCCACTCT